CTAGCCCCATCCTAACCTCCAGTGTTTCTCATTGCTGTCTAGAGTTGAGAAGGAACCACAGGACAGGCAGATGGAAAACAGTGGTGAGCCATGGGTGAGCCTCAGGAGCTCGGAGGTAGGCCATCCAGACAGATGAAGACGACCAAATCAGATGAATTAAGAGGACAAGAAATAGAATCCCTGAAGCTTGGGACATATCTCAAAAATCATTTTGTTACAACACTAGACACATAGATACACACACACGCACATACCCATGGCCTAATACAAAATAACATATATTCTGCTTTTACGCCATTGGTTTTCCCAGCAAGGGTTTATAAATTAGAGGTACAAAAAATAAAAGCACTGTAAGATTCATATTTCCAAACTATCCACACAGAGTTCCCAGGAGGAGGGGTTAGTGCAGGATGGGAGGGAAGGTCGTGAGATGCCCCAGCTAAGCAGATCATGCTGCAGCACACAGCTCCAACAGGCTGCCAAAGTGCTGCAGCGGTCCCCAAGTGCTGCATGGCCCTGAAGTCATCATCTCTCAGAGAACTGATACAGGAGAGACAGGAGCTGCCCTGTAAGGGTCTTCTGAACCTGGATTCTACTGCACTACCAGTAGGGAGAATCAACAAACTTGATCCTGGAAAAGAGTCTGTGCAGCTCCCCACGGCCAATTTTAGGGGTGGTCTCCTTCAACTGGACCATTTGGCCTTCCATAAGTGCCCAACGCAGGCTAAGCTTGCTGATCACCAGAGAGGTGGGGTGGCCGTCAGGGCTCATCCCTGTTGTCCTGGTGACATAAAAGGCATCTTTCCAGATGTCATTGATTTGAACCTCCGAAGTTGTCACTGTGCCAGTGGTGTTGGTCAGGTGCAGGAGGACAGACGGGAAGGCTGGGTGCAGGAGGTAAAGGTGGTAAAGGCCAGGGGCTCAGCTCCTGGGGTGTCATCAGAACTGAGAGATGCAGCAGCCAGTGCTTCTGCCCAGAAGAGGAAGACAGACTTCTGGTCTGAAGTAACTGCAGAAGTGGTTGGTGTTTCCTTCATGTGACACGGGATACTGTGACTCCAGATGATGGAGCCAGAGCCACCATCCACCACCATCATCTTTTTCATCCCAACTCCATGCTGTTTGCAGAAGGAAGTCCAATGTCTGATCATCAGTGAAAGACCCAGGAGTGGGCTGGCTGCAAACAGACAAGGACGCAATAAAAACCGATAGACAGAAAAGAAACGGGGCTGGAGACACGGCTCAGAGGTTAAAAGCACTGGCTGTTCTTCTAGAGGTCCTGAGTTCAATTCCCAGCAACCACATGGGAATTGAATGAGATCAGAACCAATGAGATCTGGTGCCCTGTTGTGTCATGCAGGCACACATGCAGGCAGAACACTGTATACCTATATAATTAATTAACTAATTAATTAAAAAAAGAAACAGGCACCTCCCTCCCTTCCCTTGCACCAGCCACTCGAAACAAGCAAATGTTCTAGATAATCTTTAGAGTGGGAAAGCTGCTCGGAACAGCAGCCATATGAAGGTACTCTGCAAACCTGCGCAGGCCATGAAGGCTCAATTTCCAGGGCGGCATAAGATCTCGCTCCCGGAGCAGGACCAGGCCTTGTCTGGTTGCAATCGAGAGGCTGCTGCAGTTGGAATCTGGTGCCTTCACCAACTGGAGAAGCTCGACTCCATCACTGTAAACATCGAGGAGCTCCGAAAGACTGACAGATCTATGCTTCTCCCATTCCGGCTCTTCCATCTGCAGAGAGGGTGGTGCACTGTCTTGATTTTGGGCCTAAACAAAAATGTCCCACAGGGCAACAGCTTGTATGTTTCCAAAGCCAAATATGATGTAGACAGTCCCAGTGGTGGTGATGTAAACCTGGGGACCAATCAGACGCCCCACTCCCATGATGTTGTACTTCACAGGTCAATCCACGGGACTCCCTGTCCAGCCAGATACCAGCAGAAAACACAGATCTGGCTGCAATTCTCCAGTGGCCAGCACCACCAGATCTCTGACACCATCCCCATCCAGGTCTGGCAGCACCACAACTGGGGTACCAAGGTGCCATTAGACAGATGGTTTGGGTTTACGGCCCACATGACTTTCCCTGATGCTGCATTGAATGCACTGAGCATCTTCTTTTTAAAAAATATTTTTTATGGTTTATTTAACTTTATTTTATGTGCATTGGTGTGAAGGTGTCAGATCCCCTGCAACTGGATCTTCAGACAGTTGTGAGCTGCCATGTGGGTGCTGGGAATTGAACCAGGATCCTCTGGAAGAGCAGTCAGTACTCTTAACTATTGAGCCATCCATCTCTCCAGCCCCATGCACTGAGCATCTTGAGTGTCCCCGTCATGAGGCAGATGGTCTCTCTGACTCCTGGAGCCTGCTACACCCTCTGGGGCCCTACCACATAGGTAACTCTCCAGTTACTAAGACACTTGTTCTTCGTCTATTGGAACCCTCCCTGCTTCCTTCCCCCCTCCCACTAGGAGCTGCTTGCTAAGTCCTGTGGCTTCCCAAAGCCCTTCCTGGCCTCCGCAACCATGCCCCTCCCATCTCTCAGCTTCTCGATGCCCTCCTGGGCTTCTTTCTTTTAGTTTCCACTTGGAGCTTATAAAACTCCCTTCGGCAGAGTTCATTCTGCAACCCTTTCTCTCTTCCTCCACGGACTCGGATTTTATTAAAGCCTTACTGTTACTATAAGCAGCTTGGCTTCAGTACAGTTCAATGGCCAAATTGGAATTGACAATTGGCTCAACTGTCAATGGTGGCAACTTCTGCCACCACACAAACAAACTTGCTCTCTCCTCCTCTGTTTCTTCCTATCTACACCTGTCTATGGGTAGCTCCTATACATGGATGTTTCTCACCCCTCTAACCAACAGCCTGTCCTAGCAGGGATGAGAAACTGCCAACTGCCATAGAGCAGGCTGTCAAAGGTTGATGGGGCCGGGGGAGTGCTGGAGAGATGGCTCAGCAGTTATGAGCAGCGACTGTTCTTCCAGGGGACTTGAGTTCAATTCCCAGCACCCACATGGTAGCTAACAACTGTCTGTAACTCTAGTTCCAGAGTCTGAAACCCTCACACAGAAAAACATGCCGGCACATGAAATAAAAATAAATAAGTTTTTTTTTAAAAAAGGCTGATCCAGTTCCCTATAACTCCCTATTCATCTCTTCTTCACCTGGACTGACTTACCCCATGCCTCTTTTCTCTATTTTTGCGATAATTCCTGTCCTGAGAAAAAGTCATAAAAACAGGGTTTATGAAAAATAGGATTTAAAAATGATGCTTGTTTAATAAAAGTATTAAAGCTGCACCTTCATGTACTCATATACAAGAATGTACTTTATGCTAGTAAGTTTGTAACGAACTTTGCAACATAAGGGTCACCTGGGTGGTATTGGTTTTAAAAGGTCACGAAAGGTCAGGGAGAGCAAAGGAGACTCGGTACGGCAGGACTGAAGGACCTCTAGAGATCCAGGAGAGGTTTTCGGCGAAAATACAGCCCACTTACAATGACAGTCTAAGAAAGTGTAGAAAGCTTAAGAACGTTCTGAAGGTCTAAGAAAGTGATTTAAGACAATGAACAAATGTTTCAGATTGTCCCCCCTCTATGCCATTGTTATATTATGATTTCAAAGGTTCAGGAAGCCTATATCACTCAGTGGTTCAGCCAGACCACCGCTGTGGTGGGTCTGAAGGCTGCCCACCAGCAGGTTGCCAGAAGGAGATACTTGTCCCTGTAATGCTTTAATGGACTTCTAAAGCACCTGCCCCCTGTGCTTGCTTTCTCTATGCTCGAACAAGAAATTACTGTCTGCATTGGCCAGAGACTTATGGAGGCTGCCCTTACTGATCCTGTAGGAGACAAGCTGCATATTCAGGTAGGCCTTCTATCTTTTATACAAAATGGGGTATCTCTTATTTCCTAATTAAGGACTCCTGGCACCCCAGATGGGAGGCAGGGGTCACTAGTGCACTTTACTATAGGATTTATCAAGGCTGCCCATCAGGCGAGATCAAAATACAGACGGTACGCACCCCACTCTCTCAACCCCTAATTATAGACACGGTAGGAGAAGTGGCCCAACATTCAAAGGTTCTTTCCTCCCTAGCATCTCCCCTCTTGGACGGCACTGACCCTACCTCTGTCCTCATGGCCACTCCATCTCTTGTTTCAGACCTTAACCTCCGCATATCAACTCCTAAATATCACCCTGCCTGACCATTTTGGAGAGCCCCGGTAGGGTCTCCCTCCTGGGTCAAACTCACACGACCACCATTCCTAACCTTACCCATTGAACTATTGGACTGTCACCTCGCTGCTCACTTAAGTGCTCTGAGCTGGAGGGTTGCGGCACAGAGCCAGCGCTACAAGCTGCTTTACGATCCTGAGCAAATCCATAATCTCGTTTGAATCTGTTCTTCCTGCACATGGTTTCTCCCTTTCTGTCCTCTCTCCTAGCAGAGTCCTCTGCATCCATCGTGTTTGGCCGATACTTGTTCAGACATGTTAGTGGGTCCCTCCTGGGATCCTGCGGAGGACAAGGGCGGCCTTTCCTGGAACCGCTAGGTAGAAGAAGGAAGCATGGCCACACGACTGGACTGAGGACGAGACAGGGCCTCTGGGAGAGTCTGAGAGCCGCGGTCAGGTTCAGTGCTCCTGGTTCTCCTTTTCCTTGACTACCTGGAAGGAAGTTTCTCTCTAAAATCGTTTCTCACATCTCTGCGTACACGCCGCCCTGTGTACCAGGACCTGCGATCCCTGCCTATGAGCAGGACGGGATTTAGAAGGCTAGAGAAGACACCGAGTGGTTTAAGCGTTCCTCTAACAGGAAGTGTAGGGCTGAGGCCTGTGGGCGGGGCTCGAGTGTGGCTCACCAGGCCGAAGGAGGGTGGGGGGCGTGAGTGGGTGGGTCTCGGCTTTGCTCCGCCCGAGAGACCAGCTTTGCCCGGCTCCACCCCTTGTAGGATAGCAGTGAGCTCCGGGGAGCCGCACAGTTTCTGTTTTCCGGGTTGGGACGTATTCCTTTCTCCGTCCTAACGCCGGTCAGCCCAAAGGGAGTGATTCTGTACCTCCAGGGACAGTCTCACTGAGCTCTACTCTGCCCCACCCGGTCCTCGCACCGCATCCACCGCAGCGGCCGAGGAGGAGATCCGGGAGCCAGTCCAAGTGGGCCAAAGTGCAGGTGCGCAGCGCAGGCTCAGCCTCCTGGGATTGAATCCGCCTTGGACCGGCAGGGTTTGCTCCAGGACTTAGGTCTGCGAAGCAGTTCTGTCCAGTTTGAGCCTGAGGCTAGTGTGGCGGGAAGTGGAGAGCTTGGTAGGGAAACTAATGTCACAGAGGGCAAGAGAGGGAACGGGTTTGTAGGAAAAACAGAACGCCCGGAACCCTAGCCCCCTAGGACCCGAGACCTGGGAACTTTCTCCAATTTCCGGTCCACCACAGTCCGCTAACCCTTTGGCGGTGGAGAAACACCAGGCACCAGATCTATGAATGGAATGCAGAAGTGCTTTTTGCTGTATCCTACAGAACCCAGGCCTCGCCTCTCCCTGGTGACCAGGAATTGTTTTGTTTGTAAGAGACAGGGTTTCTCTGTCTTTGGAGCCTGCCCTGGAACTCGCCCTGTAGACCGGGCTGGCCTGGAACTCACAGAGATCCGCCTGCCTCTGCCTCCTGAGTTTTGGGATTAAAAGCGTGCGCCACCACTGCCCAGTGGCTGGGAATTGTTTTAGGAAAAATTCCAAGAACTAAAGTCACCGAGGATGCTGTCCCAATCTGATCCTTGGTGGTCCTTTTACTTTTGCTGATGATGAGTCAGCCTACGGACAGACAGACCACTCACTGCCTGGAGGAGACATCCTAGCTGCCCCTGAGTACTGAGACATGGTTCCTTAGTGAACCCGAGGTCAGCTGATGGAGGAATCTAATTGGAGCCTTTCTTTACAGGAGTTGAGAACTCAAGAGCGGCAGGTTCCGAGCCTGACAGACCTGGGAGGGAAGTGCCTGATTGGCCAAAGTCTTTGGGGTCGCTAAAGGTGCCTGGCTTCTGTACAGCACCCAGTGATGGCCCGCCAAAGACTGGCCCTGGGCCTGGCATTCTGCCTGGTTGCTAGCACAAGTCTCTGGCTCCTGTGGTGAGTTCCGGTTTGGAGTCTACTCCCTCCCTCTGCATGTCACCCCTAAACCTTGAATACTCATACAGTTTTCCAGGTCCCATCAACCTTTCGAGAGTCAGAATCCTCCAGCCCCAGTCAGACTACCTAGTATTGGCTTCTGTGTTTTGCCTTGATTTGACTTCCTAGTCTTCCTTTAACTTGCCACGTTTTCTGCCTAGACTGTCCTTCAAATGATGTTGATAAGGAACCCTGGTCATGCTCCTAAAGTCACCCCTGTTGGTCTTGTGGGGTGCTACTGGCACTGCATGTCTCCTATTTGTGCGTGGGACCTGGTGTCAAGGACATGAGCCATGAGTGAATAGCCATACGAACAAACAGCTACACACTAGGCCCTGTGGCGGATGCAGGTGTCCTCTGCTGCCAACACAGAGTGACAGGGCTTCCTCCCAACCGCACCACTGGAGGCCTTTGCTCCTGATAAAGTGCACCAAGTCAGCCCCTGAGGCAGAGCATCATTGACGGGTACTTTTTCTTTCTAGGGGATTTGCCAGGGACTGGCTGCTGGTCTCCTATGTGCCTTTTTACCTCCCCTGCCGAGACTCGTAAGTATGGGGCTAGAGGATTTGGGGGCAGTGTGAGCTGAGTGTATTTGGAGAAACAGGAAAGCTTTTAGGATGACATTGTCTGAGATTTCAGCCTTCAAGCCTCCTTCTGCCCTCAGTGCTTGCACAGCTGTGGGTCTTGCTTCTTACCTGCAGTGCCTGTTAGGTGGGATGGTAGAGATGCCTCTCCTGGATGCTGCGTGTGAGTAGCCTCGTGTCCTAGTGCATAGAAGGTGGTCAGAAACAGCCCTGTTAGGAAGGAACCTCTTGCTTCATTAGTGTGGATGCAGGAAACCTAGTACCATTGGCTAAAGCCTTCCATACACGGTGAACATATTTGACAGCTAAAAGTGAAAAGATGGACCTCGTGAACTTTTGTGTTTTATAGCAGCTAAAGAAGACCAGGCTGGCCTTGAACTCAAAGATCCACCTGCCTCTGCCTCCTGAGTGCTGGGATTAAAGATGTGTGCCACCACCTGGCATAACACATTTTATCAAAAACACAATATAGTTGTAGTATTTTAGTCCTTATTCAGATGTTTATAACAGGATGCCACAGTTCTGGCCCAGAGTCAAGGAGCTACATGTGCTGAATTTGTTGGTGACTATCTTACTGGCAAGGTCCCAGGGCAGCACAGGGTGAGAGGCAGAATGTATCTCTGTGTATATTTTTTTGGTCTCTTTGTCTTAATCCCTACCTGTTCTCGAACTCTCTAAGTCAACCATGCTAACCTTAAATTTACAGAGATCTGGCCTCCTGAGTGCTTGGGTTAAAGGTATGTATTACCAAACCTGGCTTTTATTATTAAAATTATATTTATTATTTATTTTTGGTCTGGTTTGGTTTTTGAGATAGGGTTTCTCTGTGTAGTCCTAGCTGTCTTGGAACCCACTCTGTAGACCATCCTGGCCTCAAACTCACAAGAGACCCACCTGCCTCTGCCTCCTGAGTGCTGGGATTAAAGGAATGTGCCACCACTGCCCAGCTATTATTATTTTTAATGTGTATGGGTGCTCTGCCTACATGTATATTTATGCACCATGTACTTGGTGCCCTCAGAGGCCAGAAAAGTGTGTCAGATCCCCTGAGGCTGGAGTTGCAGGTGGTTGTGAACCACCGTGTATCTATTGTATATACTGGGACCTGAACCCAGGTCCTCCTAAGAACAGCCCTCTCTCCAGTTCCTATACAGGGTCTTATGTAGCTAGAGTGTCTGGCTTAGTCACTGTTTTGTTGCTAGGAAGAGACACCATAACCAAGGCAACCTTGAAAGAAAGTATGAAATGGGGGGCTTGTTTACAATTTCGTGAGTTAGTCCATTATCATCATGGTGGGGAGCTTGGCAGAGCGCAAGTAGACATCTACATACTGATCTGCAGAAAGAGAGACTGGGCCTGGTGTGGGGTTTTGGAACCCCAAGCCCACCCCCACTGACATACTTCCTCCAACAAGGCCACACTTACATGACCCCAAGAGGGACCGTTCTTACTCAAACCACCACAGTGTTCTACTTATTAGGCTTCTATTTATTCCTGTAATGAGACATCATGACCAACTGTGGTGGTGGCGCACACCTTTAATCCCAGCACTCGGGAGGTAGAGGCAGGCGGATCTCTGTGAGTTCGAGGCCAGTCTGGTCTACAAAGCAAGTTCCAGGACAGTCAGAGCTGTCACATAGAGAAATCCTGTCTTTAAAAAAAAAAAATGAAAAACAAAACATCATGACCAAAATCAGCTTGGGGAGGAAAGGGTTTGTTGGCTTACATGTCCCCATCATAGTCCATCAGGAAAGGAAAGGCAGGAACTTGGAGTTAGAAATTGATACATAGGGGCTGGAGAGATGGCTCAGAGGTTAAGAGCATTGCCTGCTCTTCCAAAGGTCCTGAGTTCAATTCCCAGGATGGCTCACAACCATCTATAGTGGGGTCTAGTGCCTTCTGCTGGCCTGCAGGCATACACACAGACAGAATATTGTATACATAATAAATAAATAAATAAGTAAATACTTAAAAAAAAAAGAAATTGATACAGAGGCCATGGAGGAACCTGTTTACTGGCTTGTTCTTCAGGGCTTGCTCAGCCTGCTTGCTTGCTTTTTCTTCTTTCTTTCTTTCTTTCTTTCTTAATTTCTATTTCTTTTTTTCTTTTCTTTTCATTCTTTTTGTTGTTGTTGTTTTTGAGACAAGCTTTCTCTGTGTAGCCCTGGCTGTCCTGGAACTCGCTCTGTAGACCAGGCTGACCTTCAATTTAGAGATCCACCTGACTCTGCCTCCTGAGTGCTGGATTTAAAGGCATGCACCACCACTGCTCAGCCTGTTTTCTTAGACCATCCACAACCATCTGCCCAGTGATAAATCAGTCATTAATTAGGAAAAAGCCCCCATAGACTTACCTACAGACCAATCTGATCGAGGTATTCTCTCAACTGAAGTTCCCTGTTCCAAGATGACCCAGGTTGTGTCAAGTTAACTAAAAACCTAAGCACATTGGCCCTGAACTCTGTGCGTGTGAGGATGACTTTGAGCTCCTCATTTCCTTGCCTTCAGTCACTCCTGACTGCCGAGATCACAGGCCTGTGCTTCCTTGCCAGGTTCGTCTTTCCTTTCATTTTTATTGCCTTTAGATGCTTAAAACTATGAAGTTCTTTTTTGATGCGTGTGTGCAAGGCTCAAGGCCAACCCTTGGCCTGTGTGGAAGACAGGCTGTCTTCCCCTGAGCTGCACTCCCAGTTTCTGCTTCTGTGTTCTTGTGTGTCATTCCCCAGTGGAGCTAGAGCATGTCTGGACTTGTGGGGAAAATGAAATCACTGTCAGGCTGCACAGAATGCTGGGTCCTGGTGTGGCATCCTCTTCCTGATTCTGATCGCCTCCTCGGAACCCCAGTATTTTCTGAACAGGGACACAGTAAACAGGGTTTAGAGAGTGGGCAGTTAAAGAGTAGAGGCAGATCATGAAGGGTCAGATACTATGCAGGTTCCTTCAAGAGTGTTGCGAGAATCTTTCTGGACGAAGCACTCTGACACGAGCGAGAGTGCCTCCAGGGGACCAAAGCCAGCACCACTCCTGAGAGGTTTCCGTCCAAGAGCCGGTTTTATACTCTAAAACTGTAAGCCAGGGCGGGCAAGCAAGCGAGATTTTGCGGAAGCATCAGTGGCAATCAGCAGGTGGTTAAGGGCAATGACTCATTGTTCTGGTTATTTCTCCAGGTCATCCTGTTTCATTCAGGTAGCTATCCAGGTAGCGAGTGAGGTCACGCTGGGCAAACAGGCAGTACAAACAGTGCTTTAAGTAAATGCCTACATCCATAAATCTGTATCGAATAATTGGTCTTACCAGATTCATAGAGGCAGGGACAGGGCAGGCCCACGGGTAGCCACTGTTTGCTGGACCTGATTTTAGACTGACAAAGAAAACATCCTTGCCGGGCAGTGGTGGCGCATGCCTTTAATCCCAGTACTCGGGAGGCAGAGGTAGGAGGATCTTTGTGAGTCCAAGGCCAGCCTAGTCTACAGAGTGAGTTCCAGGACAGGTTCTAAAACTACAGAGAAACCTGTCTTGAAAAAAAAGGAAAGGAAGGAAGGAAGGAAGGAAGGAAGGAAGGAGAAAGAGAAAGAGTAAGCTAGTTCTTGGCTTCTTGGCACAGGTAATAGTGATGGTTGTGCAACGTTGCCAATGAGCTGTGCACTTGTGAATGATTGACGTAGGACCCGTGAGAGGCTCAGTCAGTAAAGCACTTTCCTTGCAAGTTCAGTCTCCAGAGCCTTTGAAAACAGTGGGTATGATGGTGTGGACTCCCTTACAGTCCCCATGCCGAGGAGGTGGAGCCAGGTAGATCGCCAGGGCAGCTGCTAGCCAGCCTAACCTATTAGGCAGTTTCCAAGCCTGCAAGAGACCTTGTCTCAAGGAAAAGGCAAGGGAACCCTCCCTCAAGCCCACATGCATCATCTCAGGTGTTTTCCTTCTCCCCAAGTGCCTCTCTTTCTCTTAACCTTCATGTTTAAGCGTGTATTAAAATGTCCTGAACGAATGCCACTCTCTGTCTTTGTCACCAGCAACATGAAACTGCAGTTCAGGCAGGAGAAGTTGTTCCAGCCCGTGACACAGTAAGTCTACCGTTTCTCCCTAGATTCTGGCCCCAGGAGCGGGGACTGCCTTCCCTTCCTCACACTGACCCTTCCTGGTTACAGGTTCCAGTACCCTCAGCCTAAGCTGCTAGAACACAGGTAGGTGTCAGGGAATGGCCTGGTAGCGGCAGGGAGGGGAGCCAGAGAGAGCCAACGAGGCCAGAGGATGGTGGCGGTACCGATAGTAAAGGGGACCTGGGCGCCAGAGCATCAGGGAGCTGAGCTCCTCCTGCCACGCAATGACTGTGTGACCCTAGGCAGTTGGCTGTCTGCTCTGAGCTTTACCTTTTGCGGAGATCACAATATTACCTACTTTATAGGAGGTTGGAGCAGTAGACAGGGGTACTGTGGCATATGCTTGGATACTGGCTTGTCCCCATTGGCTTATTCTGTCACCTTATGGGCACCCCCTGGTCTGCGGTGGGAGTGCTCTAAAATAATGGTTCTCAACCTTCCTATCGCTGAGACCCTTTACTACAGTTCCTTGTGTTGTGGTGATCTCCAACTGTAAAATTATTTTGTTGCTACTTCATAATTGTAATTTTGCTACTGTTAAGGATTGTAATATAAATATCCGATATGAAGCCCCCAACCCCAAAGGGGTCACAATTCACGGTTGAGAACCGCTGCTTTAGACACAGTGTCTATGCCAACTCCTAGACTTCCCAGCCCTAGTAGGAGGTAACTGTTATTATCCCACTTTCGCATGGGGAAACTGAGGCCCAGTAACTGGGCCAAGAGCTACCCAGGCTTCTGAACAGGGAGGCTTCCGTGGCCTGAGCCTCCCCCATGCCAGACCCACAGAGCTACTGACGCTTACCCCCTGGCTGGCACCCATCATCTCCGAGGGAACCTTCAACCAAGAGCTTCTGCAGAATATGTACCAGCCGTTGAACCTGACCATCGGAGTCACCGTATTCGCCGTGGGGAAGTGAGTAGTGGGCTAGGCAGGGGTGGGGCTGGGTCTCCTTGAGCCACTGGGGTTTGTGGTCTAGAGAAGTCAGTGTGGCCGAGTGCTAGGCAGTGATATGGAGGAGCTTTCTTTCTTTCTTTTTTTTTTTTTCAAGACAGGGTTTCTCTGTAGCTTTGGAGCCTGTCCTGGAACTCGCTCTTGTAGACCAGGTTGGTCTCGAACTTACAAAGATCCACCTGCCTCTGACTCCCGAGTGCTGGGATTAAAGGCCCGGCGTGGAGGAGCTTTCTGATGTAGGGCCTCACCTGCCATGGAGAGGGAGGCGTGAGAAGCCTGGGTGAGGAATAGTGGAGTATGGGAAGGAGACTTTGTCCTCCCTGTCTCTCCTGGTCCCTACCTTGCCTTCCCTTTAAGTCCACCCGCCCTAGGACTTAAAGTACTGGCCAGATGACAAGTGGACCTCAGAGGTCAGGTGACCCCTAAAGATGGAGCCATGTCATCCATTGTGCTATATGTCCCCCACCTTCCCTGGATTCTTTTTTTTTTAATATTTATTTATTATGTATACAATATTCTGTCAGTGTGTATGCCTGCAGGCCAGAAGACCCCATTACAGATAGTTTTGAGCCACCATGTGGTTGCCGGGAATTGAACTCAGGACCCTTGGAAGAGCAGGCAATGCTCTTAACCTCTGAGCCATCTCTCCAGCCCCCTTTTTTTGGTTTTTTGAGACAGGTTTCTCAGGTTTCTGTGGTTTTGGAGCCTGTCCTGGAACTAGCTCTTGTAGCCCAGGCTGGTCTCGAACTCACAGAGATCCCCCTGCCTCTGCCTCCCAAGTGCTGGGATTAAAGGCGTGCATCACCACCGCCCGGCCTTCCCTGGATTCTGTCCCATTTGCTTCTCAGTGACTGTCATCCTCCTGGTGCTCAGTATTTGTGCATGTAAAATGGTCATGTTTCTGAGCAGATTGTTAATGCTAAGATCAAAGATCACGGGAATACCTAACAGAGCAGTTTGGGTTTAGTAAATGCCCTTGTCTCTAAGCCCGATGACCTAGGTTTGATCCCCAGAACCCATTCATGGCGGAAGGAGAGAACTGATTCCTGAAAGTTGTTCTCCAACCTCCAGAGGCACACCATGGCATGCATGCATGCACAAAACAAATTAATTTTTTAAAATTTTACAGAAGACACTGGGGAGGACAACTCAGTTGGTAAAGGGCTTTTCATGCAAACACTACCTATGTTCTATTCCCAAAACCTACATAAGAAAGCCAGACCCCACAGCGCATGCCTATAGTCCCAGCTCCGGGGATACAGATAGGAACATCACTGAGGCTTGCTGCCTGGCCAGCCTTGCCAGATTGCTGAGGTCCAGATTCATTAAGACCCTGTCTCAGAAAAATAAGGTGGCAAGCAACTGAGGAAGATGTTCGACCTCTGGTACACATGGGTGCATAAGCACACACACACATACAGATGGTTAAGGATCTATCTCAAATGGGTGTCATCCACTGAGTATTCCTGATTAGAAACACTTGGGCCAGCAGTCTCTCCCAGTATAGATTTTAAAATTTGTGGAGACTTTAATAATTACAAATCTTAATCTAAAACTCTGAAGCAGGGCTTTTCGATGAGGGGTATTCAGCTTTGACAAGGACTGTGGGAGTTTGACAGATGAGGACACCAAGGTACAACCTGAATGACTCCTTGAGGTGGAGGACTAGAATCTAGACTCCAGCACGTACTGGGGACCCGGACAGCATCACTATCATCCCCAGTTGACAGAACTGTCATTCCTAGGTACACCTACTTCATTCGACCCTTCCTGGAGTCAGCTGAAGAGTTCTTTATGCGTGGGTACCAAGTACACTACTACCTCTTCACCCACGACCCTGCAGCCGTTCCCAGAGTCCTCCTGGGCCCTGGGCGCCTCCTCAGCATCGTCCCCATCCAGGGTCACTCCCGGTGGGAGGAGATCTCCATGCGCCGGATGGAGACCATCAGCAAACACATTGCCGAGAGGGCTCACAAAGAAGTGGATTACCTCTTCTGTCTCGATGTGGATATGGTCTTCCGTAACCCATGGGGCCCCGAGACTTTGGGGGATCTAGTGGCTGCCATTCACCCAGGCTATTTCGCTGTACCTCGCCAGCAGTTCCCTTATGAACGCAGGCAAGTTTCCGCTGCCTTTGTGGCAGACAGTGAGGGGGACTTCTATTATGGTGGGGCAGTCTTTGGGGGACGAGTGGCCCAGGTGTATGAGTTTACCAGGGGCTGTCACATGGCCATCCTGGCGGACAAAGCCAATGGCATAATGGCAGCCTGGCAGGAGGAGAGCCACCTGAACCGCCGTTTCATCTGGCACAAGCCATCCACAGTGCTGTCTCCAGAGTACCTCTGGGATGATAGGAAGCCCCAGCCCCCGAGCCTGAAGCTGATCCGATTCTCTACAGTGAAAAAGGATACCAACTGGCTCAGGAGCTGACAGTGGAGCTGAGACCCACCCAAAGCCCAGCCCTGCCCACCTCAGTCTACTGGAGGAGTTCAACCAGGAAGATGACTGGAGAGGAAGTGTAAACTGTGAGGGGCTGTGCACCCACAGTCATACATTGTTCCGATACCAGTGGTTGGACAAGAGGGAGTCAGGGCCTGGCAGGCCTCACAACTACCCAAGGCATGGATGTGTCTTTCCAGGACTGGCCCTGGCATCCAGCCCTATTCGAAGTGCCTGGTGGCCTGCTTCTGCCCTCACTTAGTACATGCTGCTTTTGAGTTGTGTCTTGGGGATCAAACAGGGGCCGTGCACGCTGAAGGGAAGTGCTCCTCCCCCGAGCCCCGGCCTGCTGCCTTCAATCTGCACTGTGATATCCTCGTCCTGAGTACCATGCTGTTCCCCCAGCCACGTGTGTTCTTCACTCCGGGTCCCAGAGCTAGCTCTGAAGCAGAGCAGACTTAGGTTCCTTCTGGTCACCTGTATCCCATGAGGTAGCTCACTCTCAGGGACTAGATGTCTGTCTGTGGTAGCTTCCAATAAAGATGGTGTGATCTAGGTCCTGATCAGGGTTTTACCTGCACAGTGGACTATTTTGCCAGTCAGAATAGTTCTGGTGGACACAAGTGGACTGAATTTCAAACAGTTCGTGTCGGGAGAGGGTGGGTTAATGGTTATTCCAGGAGACTGAGCCCAAGCTGGCTGCTTCCACACACCTTGTTCATCCCAGTCCTGGGAGCCTGGGCGAGGTGAGGTCCTGTGGACAGATGTGCCATACCTAGAGAGCAGCAGTGCTTATCAGCTTCATTGTCCCTTCAGTCCCTGCACATATAGGAGGTGTGCTTGTGGTCCCCTCTGTATCCATGACCACTATGCCTGTGGGAGGCCACCGGTGTGTATGGGGCTTCAGGATGGTGGGATGAATAGGCCAGGTTCAGAGGGTGTTAACAGCCTGGGCCCAGAGGGCCCTCAGAGGCCCATAGAGGCTAGGCAGAGATGCAATTAGGCACTGGTTGAGAGCTTGGTTACCTAATGCGCACTTCCCTAGGCAGCAGTATCCTCTCCATGGTAGGAAGCAACATGGTGGGTTGGGGTACACTCCAAAGTCATGGAAGCACCCTGTAACCCACCCATCCCCTGCAAAGCTGAAGGCCATCTTGGGCCTGTCTCTCTCTCTCTCTCTCTCTTTCTTTCTTTCGAGTTTATTATTTATTATGCATACAATTTTCAGCTTGCATATCTGCCTGCAGCCCAGCAGAGGGTACCATATTTCATTATGGATGGTTGTGAGCCATCATGTGGTTGCTGGGAATTAAACTCAGGACCTCTGGAAGAGCAGCCTGTGCTCTTAACCGCTGAGCCACCTCTCCAGCCCCCTTGAGCCTGTTTTTTTTATACTTTGTTATTGATTTGCCAAGCAGAAGAACCCCTAGGGCTTCTAGACAGTGAACCTGTAATAGACCCTCGCCTCTATCTTTGGAGGTGAGCATCTGCCTGAGGCTGTCAGGCATCGGAGTAGTCCTGAAGCAGAGCTGTGGGAAGAGGGCAGGCTCTACCTTCAAGGAATTGCTCTTTGAAGCAGGGGGTTTTGAACATGGAAGCTAGAGAAGGCCTCTGAATGACTGAGGCCTGAGGTGGGATTAGCCAGCAGGGGAGGAGATGGTACCTGATCTCTTTCAGCCAACTGAGACCTTCAAGCGATTCCTATTCAGGGCATGGTCCCAGACACTAGGTAAGAGACTGAACCCAACTTGTAGAAGCAAACCACCATCCATGTTGCTTTCTGGAAGAGGCAAAGGGTTGGGGTGGGAGATGATCCAGATAGGAGCCTGGCCCACCGTCTCTGAAGGTGTCCAGGGGCAATCCCAGCAAGGAGCCCTAGACCTTTTTATAGAAGAATCAGATTTGAGGTTTGTGGAGTGATAAGCACACAGTTCCAGGACAGACTGAGGTTCTGTGGGCCAGAAAGTTTAAAATCACACAGCATCCTCTTCAAGAAAGGTGAGCGGGCCAAGCAGTGGTGGTACGTGCCTTTAATGTCAACATTTGGGAGGCAGAGGCAGGTGGATCTCTGTGAGTTCAAGGCTAGCCTGGTCTAACTAGGGCTACACAGAGAAACTGTTTCAAAACAACAAAAGAAAGGTGAGAAGCTTGATGATTCAAGGTTAGTAAAGTTCTTGCCAAGTAAGCACAAGGACCTGAGTTCAATACCCTCAATCCATTTATCTTAGTCAGGGTTACTATTGCTGTGATGAAACACAATGGCCAGATAAGTTGGGAAGGAAAGGGTTTATTTGGCTTACACTCCTATACTCCTCATCATTGAAGGAAGTCAGAACAGGAACTCAAGCAGGGCAGGACCCTGGAGGCAGGAGCTGATGCAGGGGCCATGGACGGATGCTGCTTACTTGGCTATGGTGGTTTAAAATCAAATGGCCCCCCTGCCGGGCGGTGGTAACACACACCTTTAATCCCAGCACTAGGGAGGCAGAGGCAGGAGGATCTCTGTGAGTTCGAGACCAGCCTGGTCTACAAGAGCTAGTTCCAGGACAGGCTCCAAAACCACAGAGAAACCCTGTCTCGAAAAAACCAAAAAAAAAAAAAAAAATCAAATGGCCCCCAAAGGCACTATTAGGAGGTGTGACCTTGTTGGAGGATGTAGGCTTTGAGGTCTCATATATGCTCAAGCCATGCTTAGTGTGACATACAGTCTACTTCCTGTTTCCTGCATATCAACATGTAGCAGCTCCCTTTCCAGCACCGTGTCTGCCTGTACACCGCCATGTTCATCAACATGATGATAATGGACTAACTCTGAAATGTAAGCCACCCCAATTAAACATTTTTCTTTTATAAGAGTTACTGTGGGGCTGGAGAGATGGCTCAGAGGTTAAGAGCACTGACTGCTCTTCCAGAGGTCCTGAGTTCAATTCCCAGCAAACACATGGTGGCTCACAACCATCTGTAATGAGATCTGGTGCCCTCTTCTGGCCAGCAAACATACAGACAGGCATTTTCTTAATTGAGGTTCCCTCCTTTCCAGTGATTGTGTCAAATTGACATAAAACTATCTAGTACACCATGTTTTGCTTTGTTTAAGAAAAACTGGGCCATTGCCTGTGGCTGGTGAGGCCATGTCATTAAACCAATAGCATTTCTGGCTGAACTCTATTTTTTTGTTTTGTTTTGTTTTTCAAGACAGGGTTTCTCTGTGGCTTTGGAGCCTGTCCTGGAACTAGCTCTGTAGAACAGGCTGGCCTCAAACTCACAGAGATCCGCCTGCCTCTGCCTCCCGAGTGCTGGGATTAAAGGCGTGCGCCACCATCGCCCAGCTCCTGGCTGAACTCTAAACACTTAGCCTTATACCCAAAGATAAGTGCAGCCCTCACCCCTCACCAGAGCTGCCTCTTTCTACAGCGGATAAAGAGCATCACAACTGGTCAAAATGCAAAGAACTTGCTAACTTTGCCCCAGTTGCTATGTCTTTAGACACAACCTCTACACCGAAGGCTCAGGGAGCATCACAAAAGAGGGTGTGGAAAGACTGGAAGAGCCAGAAGACCAGGACAGCCTATGGGTGGATGTCTGCTTTGAGACAGTGTCTTTTATGTTTGACAGGGAAGCAGCACCCAGAAAAATCTCAACAATATCGTTGCCTAAACGAGACCTCAAAAACAACACCACCCTGACATGCCAACGGGATGGGGGAATTCTCACAGGCTTCACTCCTAGAAAGAGAACTAGAGGCGGTTGATGGTAGCTGGGGGAGGGCAAAGCAGGCTTCTTCAGGGATAAACTCCCTGAAAAGGTAGCCAGTCTGAGAGGTTGGCTCTAAACACATATGACAATATTAGACGAGCCCAGCAGACTGTATTTATAAACTGTGTGTGTCTGTGTGTATAACAATCCATTACAATGAAATAATAAGCCATGGCTTTGAGCAGTGGGTCAGACATGGGAGGAATTAGAGGAAGAAGAGGGAGGGAGAAAATGACATAATATGAAATACCCCAAAAAGTAAATTAAAAAAAAGCCCGGTGTGGTCGAACACATATGTAATCCTAGCACAGGGAAGCTGGAGACAGCCCTCTGGAACCCACTGGCCATTCAGCCTAGCCTAATGGACAAGCTGCAGGCCAGTAAAAAAAAACTATCTTTAAAAAGGTGGATGCTGCCGGGTGGTGGTGGCACACGCCTTTAATCCCAGCACTCGGGAGGCAGAGGCAGGAGGATCTCTGTGAGTTCGAGGCCAGCCTGGTCTACAAAGGGAGTTCCAGGACAGGCTCCAAAGCTACAGAGAAACCCTGTCTCGAAAAACCAATAAATAAATAAATTAATTAATTAATTAATTAAATAAAATAAAAAAATAAAAAGGTGGATGTTACCTGGGCATGGTGGTACACACCTTTAATCCCAGCACATGAGACAGAGGCAGGTGGATCTCTGTGGGTTCAAAGCCAGCCTGAACCCTGTCTCAAAAAACAAAAACAAAAAGCCAGGTGGTGGTGAAGCATGCCTTTAATCCCAGCACTTGGGAGGCAGAGGCAGGAGGATCTCTATCAATTCGAGGCCAGCATGGTCTACAAGAGCTAGTTCCAGGACAAGCTCCAAAGCTACAGAGAAACCCTGTCTCGAAACAACAACAACAAAAAACCTGAAAGAAAAGAAAAAGTGAATAGCTCCAAGGATAACCCCTGAGGCTGTCCTGTGAACTCCCCTCCCTATTGCCCCAAACAGACAAAATGATAAATGCTGACAAAGGTTCAAAGCCCCTGCCCCAGGTTCAAACACTGTCCCTTTGTGGCCAGCAGCATCCAATATCATGGCTGAGCTTATAGGACCCGGCCACACAACTCTGCCCATGCTGCTCCCAGGCCAGCTCTGCCAGTGGACAGAGGGGAAATTTCCTGGGAATTGTTCTTCATGGCATATCTCCTGGGAAGCCCGCCTTAATTTCTGCTGCTTTCCTGAGTGGGTGCTTTTCTGTTTTCCCACAAATTCTCAATATGCAGCACCATTTGCTGTACTTTTAAGACCCCTCCCAAGCACTGCCCCCTAGACAGCAGTTGAGTTTCCCCTGGTACCTGACTCCACCGTCTCAGTGACTAGATGAGAGGCAGCAGATGAAAACCTGTTTAAGAATTTGTTTTAGGACCTGGGCAGGGTTGGGCAGGTCACCCACCTCTCAGAACCCCATCAATGGGATGATGCCTAGAAGACCTCTTGGCACCTGCCCTTCTTGGACAGCGACTTTGGCTGCTCCAGCCCTGGGCCATCCAGGCAGTAGACTGTACTTTGGAGGCAGCTCAACAGCTTATAGCTTCATGAGCCACCGGAGGGCAATGAAGCAGGTATCTGGGGTCCATGCTGGGCTAACAGTGTCCACTCAAACCCCGCCCCCCTCCAGCCATCCTCTCTAGGATACCTTGGCTCTGAGGAGAGTTCCTGGACAAGGCTTTGGACCTTTAGACTGCAGTAACTCTCAACTAGTTGCCTGAAATTACCAGGCACCCTAAAATCCTGGCTCCTCAGAGTCCCATCACACCTCCTTGGTTCCT